GTGCCCTCCTTTGACTGAGTAATCTGATGAAGCAGTGCCATTTACCATTTAACTACACGCTACTTGTATCCCTGCTGTTTCATCCATCTTCCACATCAACCCAATATACGATTCTTCCTGAGATTGACAGAGACAAAATGCCACACAAGGAGTGAATTGCCTCAATAATATCATTTATTATTTGGATTGCAGTAGTATCTAGTCTCCCATTCTGTAGCATTAGCACAGTTCACACCACGCCAAGCACTGCACAAACAGGGCTGGCAACTGGGCTCTGCCACAGAGATGGTGTGTCCTCTGCTGTTGACTGAATATGCCATATCTGATTTGCTCCATTAACCCTCTGGAGCTTCAAGTGTATACTTTTAAACTTGTGCTTTACCATGCAAGAACAAATTGATTTAAGACCAACTGAATCACTGAGACATTTTCTATGTGTTATAATATATTTTAATGAACTATTGATGAATTTGTTCCACAGTCCAAAAAGAGCAACAAGAAAGCAAAACAAACATCTGAAAACTCTCCACACTGCAGATCTGAGGGCAGAAGCAAACAGAAAAGTAACTCAATAAATGTTAAGAGGAGCAAGGTGAGTGTTACATACTCTAAAATCTTTCAGCAGCTTTACTGCCAATTGCTGAAACATCTGTCACGGCATTGATGCGAATCAGAAGTGACTACATGTAAGGTGAAACAACCATCTGCACCCTCCCTGGCATCTGACACACTGGGAGTTTTCTCACGTTTTGCTTCCCTGATATGTATGCTTTGGTTTTATGGTCCATCACAAATCAATTAATTATTTGCAGTTTTAGGAGCTATGCTATGAACATTAACCAGTTACAGGATTACAGCACTCTGGCTTGGCTTTATTTTATTATTTTTTTTTTTTTAAGTCTTCCAATTACAGTTATTTACTGCTTTCATTTTAAAATACCCAATTTAATATATTGGTCAATTTGAAGTAATGCCCCAATGAAAAAATACACTGTTGTTAAATTCCTTTTGTCATGATTCCAGCATAATTGTTTGCACATAAGGCTTGTGAAAGAGGGGGATCAACACCTTTGCAAAAAGCATTGAGTCTGAGATTGGCATACAAAAAGGAAGCAGTGACAATAACTTGAGGATGCCCTTGTGATGGAGACAAAGTACCCTGTTTATCTACAGAGAAACTACTTTTCCAATGACATGGGGGTGCATTAGTGATAGGAAACTTTATCTGATGTTTACTCTGATTCATCTTTTTTAGTCACTAATGGATTCTCTCTCCAGAGCTTTCACTGTTTCTCCCTTCATTAGATACAAACACGATAAAAATTGCTTTTAAAAAAAATCAATAAACACTTAAGTGTTTGGCAACTCTTAGACTTTTTACTGTATCATTTACTCAACAGTTTAATGCTTAATAGAAGAAACTTGCCTGTTAAATATTCATGTGAAGATTTAGCAGATATTACACACCACAGTTTGATTCACTTTTTCTAGCTCTTTTCATTTTTGACAAAATTAATTGTTTCAAAGCATGGAAAGTGCATTTGCTGGAGAGTAACACCTGATTTACTCATTTGAGATCAGTGTCAGGATCTATTTGTGAGAGTCTGCCGGTATTCCAGTTCGGGGCAGTGAAGTTTTCATCATTCAAAATTTGGAGCCTTCTTGGCTTTCAAAAATGAAAAGTCAGTTGAAGCTGAGCCAGTTTACACAGCTGCATTTCATTTACGTTATGTACCCCCGCCCTCATCCTGAGAGACTGGTTGCTGTGCTGGGGATCTACTTTGATATAGGAGATGGAGAATGCTGACCGCTTCAGCAAAGGTGAATGATGATTAGATTGTGTTGTTGGACAATATTTTAAATGCATGTATGGGATGGGTGCCCGTGCCCAGGCGCCGGGGTCTGAGGGGCCTGCAGCGGCCTCTGTGAGGAGAGGCCGGGGCTGCCCCAGCGCAGGGCACAGCCGAGCCCCTCAGCAAGGCTGGTGGTGCCTCTGGGAAAGTGCATCCAAGAAAGGGCAAAACGGTGCATGGAGTGAGGCAAAAAGGGTGAGAAACGGCCCTGCGAGCACCCAGGTCAGAGCAGGGGGAGGAGGAGGAGGTGCTGCAGGCCTGGGGCAGAGACTCCCCTGCAGCCGTGAGGGAGAGACCAGGGGGGAACAGATCTCCACGCTGCACCATGCCAGAGCAGCTTTTTCCTGAAGGAGAAGGTAGAGCAGTTGGGAATGAGGGTGTGAAGTTGAGCCTGGGGAAAGGCAGGGGGAGAAGGTGGTGTTTTTATTTTTGTCTTTATTTCTCACTACCTAAACATGTTTTAATTGGCAATAAATTAAATTTATTTTCCCCAAGTCAAATCTGTTTTGCCTGTGACGGTAAATGGTAAATCTTAGCTCAATCCATATGCTTTCTCATCTTATTTTCTCCCTCCACCCTGCTGAGGGGGAGTGAAAGAGCGGCTGGGTGGGCATCTGGCAGCCAGCCAAGGTAAACACATCACACTGCAATAGAAAGGCTTAATATAAATGTTTGAACAATCCAACTTAAAATATGTACTTTGACAGCTATAGCAGTATTTCAGGTTGTTGTTAAAATATGAGTATCTGCTGATATGACTCGCTTGGGGACATACTTGCATTTTTATGAAATACAAATAATATAGCTTTCAGGTTTTTTAAAACTTGAGAAATTTTTTCTTTTATTTTTTTTTTTTTAAATATGACATCCCACTGCCTCTGTAAACATGAGTCCTCCATTTTCTGAAGTATAAGAGCTGTTGGGAGATGCTTAAAAATTGAGTATCTCTAATCAAATTTTGGTCCTGCTGAACTAATCCAGAGTTCATGGATTTTTGTTCAGTATATTACAAATGTAAATAATATTAAAAATTAATATTCAAATTTTTATTGTGCATTCACCAAGTTTGGATATATTTGTATTAGTGATATGAACATGCAGTTGTGCCTCAGCTGTGCCCTTGGAGGGTCTCTCCCAGTCCCCCTGAGGGACTGGGCAGGGCTGGGATTTTGGGTGAGCTTCACTGAGCTTCAACACCAAGGAGGAGCCATGTTGTGGGCTGGCTGAGCAAACACAGAGAAAGGGAGCTCCTCGCTGTTAAACTGTAGTTCAGATCAGTCGAAAGTTTCATTTTAGTTTTTCACCTGTTATCAGTGCCTGGGCCTTCATCAAAATGTGGGTGTGAGAAATATGACATTGAGTATTTTCCTTTCTCTAGCCCAAAAAGGGGGAAAAAAAAAAGGAAAACAGGCAAAACTTTTATATGGAAAATAAGAAAACATACTTTGTAGACTTTGGGGATTGCACATCACAGAATAATGAACTGAGAATTCGATTGTCCTCTCTAAAATTAGGTATGAAATACAAGAACAAAATTTAAGCAAAGTAAAACCAAAAGAATGCCTAACTCTGCTATAAGTAAAATTCTACACCATCTTAAGTTATAATGTCAGTTTTCAACCACATTAATATTCTTAGCTGAATATGACACAAATCAGGTGAAGTTATTATTTCTGTATTAAAGCTACACCAAAATGGTCTTACACGTAGACCGTGTTGAAAAATTAGTAACTTGTTCAAATTCAAGTGGCAATATCAGGCTGGAAATGGTATTTTTTTGTCTCCTGACTTAGTTCTAGCTTAACTGTAAAATGAAAGAGCTTCAAATGTGTCTGCCTTTGTATATTAATTGTGCATTGAATTAACATAGAGGACACTATGTTTTTTGGAAGGTTTTACTCAGTGATAATGGATTTTGAGAAAGGTGACTAAATGATACAAAAAATGGGATCTGCATAGCTGATAGGGCCACATAAACAGCTTAATTTCCTGGACAGAATAATATTTTTTGTTAATTTTCCATTTATAGAGATATCTAGACTATTTTGTCTAAAAAAAAGCCAGAGGAAATAGATTTAGTGAAGGAAAATGTCTGTTAAACTGTGCTGATTTCTAGGAATGTCTTTTGTTTTAGCAAACTGGCTGTGTATTCAGCAGCAGAATTGTGAATATCTGAAGGATTGTGAGGCTCTTACACTGAAGCACCTAATACCTGTTTGTTTTAACAGTACAGATGGACCCTCCTAATCAAAATTAAATTTATTACATGATGCAGAGTAGTATCTTGCCAAATCAACCTGTGTCCCTGGGCTAGGTTCTCATACTGTTGCTGAAGTGGTGTACTATCCTACTGCACAAGAGAGCCCATTGGGACAAGTCAAGGAGTAAGTAATCTCTGGGTGTAAAGCAGGAAGACTTGAGGCATAAAGAGCTGTGAACTGCTGAGTCTCAGAAGGGACTTTCAGTTTCTTCCACCACTCTCACACAGTAAATTTGACTGCAGAACAGCTGATTCCGAGTGAAGGTTTCACAGCATGGTCAAACGTGCCTTTTGTAATACAGCATCTCAGATGTCGCTGGAGTACAGCTTCCAAGTGAGGTGCATGTTCAGCAGCAAGTATAACTTCTTAGCTCTGTGATACAGTGCTGAGTGAAGGACCAGAAGTAGTGGCTAAGCAGCAGCACTATGTTGCCATCAAGTGGTAAATACACTGATGTCTATATAGTCAGAAAGATCATGGCTGGCTGGCATCCACTGAATGAAGAAATAATATGAAAATAAATTGTCTGCTTTTCATTTCTTTGTGTTATCCTTAACTCTTTACTGGTGATTGATCAAGTGAGATTGTCTCTTGTTCACTTATTGTTTGAATGAAAGATCTGAAGAGGAAAATTTTTCAAATAATGTACTTATAGTATGACTTTTGAAAGAATTTGAATTATACTTTCCCTCAGACAAAGCTTTAGCAAAAATGACATGAAAAATGTGTTTTCTCTTTACCAGTATGTCAGCCCTTCAACTTCATTGACACTGTCATCCAATAACACTGCTGTCATTACAAAAACAACTACCAGAACATTTCCTCTAAAGCAAAAAATACACTTTGTCAATGTTAAGGCCCAGCACCTGCAACATATCAACAAACAATCCAAAAGTATAAAAGATCTGGAGATCCAACTGCTGCAAGTGGAGTGCGAAGAACTCAAAAATCAGCTAGGATGCCTGAGGGTAGGCAAAAATCCAGTTCTGTTCTTATTATCTAACTGTGCTAGTAAACAGTTACACTGAATATAGTTTATTCATAGAGGTGTTAAAACCAAGTAGAAAAATAAAAAGTTTTCTGCTTAGTTTTCCTCCGAACAGATAGTTTATTGATATTAAATATTTGTAAATTATCAGGTCTAGAAGAGAGCTTAGGTCTGAATTCACAATACTTCTGATGCAGCCTCAAGTTAAGATTTTCACTAAGGATATAAACTTGTACTTTGGATTACTAAGTGGCATTCCTATACTTTGTAATTACTATTGAACTCTTCTCAGCATTGTCTTGTACTAATTTTGTGCCCTATGAGCAACATCTCCGAGCCCTTTGTTACAGCAGTATATCATGTCAGAGGAACTTATTCCACTTTGCAAAGATTGGAATTGTCCATGTTGTTTTCTATCTCAACCTAACCTGGCTTGATTAATAGCCAGAGGAAGTTTATTAAGCATGAATTATTGGGATACTCAAAGTGTAGTATGTTGTACTGCTGATGCTATGAAGAGAGATCTTGCTTTTTAGGTGGCAGAGGATTATTAAATTAAGCAAAATATCACATGCATAAATATAGATAGTGTTATAGCAGATGTTGTTGTTTAGTTAGAAATTCAGCTATGACAAATCACATGTTACTATCGCCATATATTTGAGAAAATAGAAATTGAAAATTTCTTGTCATGCAGGAAGGACTGATGGGGCAGAAGCCAGGCAACACAGAGGAGTTACTGAAACAATCTCAGAAAGAGCTGTTGTGGCTTCAGAGACAGCTGTCCTTTATCTCCACAGGAGGCTCTGTGTGTGTTTTGGCAGCTAGCAAGGTGAGCTTCTTTATTATTTTTTCAGTCTATCTCACTGTACAAACTGGAATTAGAAAGGGAAGGGTTTATCATCATTTTGGCTTGTTTTATTGAAACATCATATTGCAAGATTTACTTTTCATACTAATAGTACTAAGAGGAAAATTCATTTTTATGATGTACTTTAAATAATTGTTTCATGTAATTCAGAAAGACCAGAAAGAACATGAAATCCATTAAAGCCTGTGAAAGGTTACATGGTTAAAATGGCATTTCATAGAGCGCTATCATATACAGAAAGATGTCTTATGTTCTATCTCTTTTTTCTAAAGCAAACTGTCTGTCAGAAGGTAGAATTGTAATACTGGGATTGTTATTCTGGGGGGATTTCTTGGCCTGGCATAAAGAACTGTAATTCCCTTTCTTCTCTCAGCAACACTGTTATAGATGCATTCCTAGTTACCAGCAGTCCATCCTCAGCATAGCTGTATCTAGCCCTAAATGGGAAAAAATTGCTATCAAGCTATATGCTTGATGCTGATATTTGGCCATATAAAATACCAAATTAATAATAAACTCTTTATATTAACAATATCCTAATGCCTTACAGTTCCAGTAAAGTGTGAGTTCTCATCTGCTGTGGCATAACAAGTTGAATATGTCGTTTTAATGACTCAAATTTCTAAATGTTTACTTGAGATAAAGAATATGTGTTAAAATCTTCATAACAATGAATCTGTGCTGATAGTTTTAAAAATTAGTTGCTATTTTATTCTCAGAGTGACTTAATTTATTAATACAATTTTCCATTTTTTAAAACAAGATTTCCATAAATTTATGTTACTTTACATAATATATACATATAGATATACACCAAGCCACACCCATGTACAGATATACATGTTTTAAATCCACCTATGAAAAGGAACAAGAAGAGTTGGTTTGGTTCAGTGTAACACATCAACAATGCCATTAAACAGTGATCTGACTTATTTTCAAGCATGAAGTTGGCTTAGCAAGTTTTTGTTTGTACAACTGCACATAAAACAACGGATACGTTCATCTAGTCTCCAGCCTAGACAAGATAGATTTCCAAAATGTGTCACCTGGAATTTTCTGCTATCACTTTGTGTCATATGCTGCGGATCTGTATTTGTTGCTGGTGCAGTATGGTAAGTGCTGATATAGTCATAGTCATAAGGAGCCTTGGGATTTGAACTCATGTAGCTCAACTGAGAAAAAAAAAATATATATATATATATAATTTGTGAAAATTTGACCTTTTTTTTTTTTAAATAAAAGAAAACAATTTATGCCACACACTGGTTATAAAAGTAAGAGTACACTTGCCTGGTGGTCAAAATGATCGTCTAATCTGGGAAGGAACATAAGATCCTGAGTAGGAACAGCTTTTATTTCTGAAAATACCAGAGTTTTGTTGTTCCCACTACAGTCGTGAGTAATCTCAGGGAAGGTCATCTGGGGCTGAGATTTACATAAAAGAGTGGTCTTGGATACCTTATTTTTAGATGTTGGACTTTCAATTCAGAAAACTGTAGTCTTTCTAGAATGTGCCAAGGTAGATCCTCAGGGAAGAAAGCACACATTGTCTATAACACTTTTCCTCATATATATATTTTTTTTTTGTAATATCACAGAACCAAGGATCAGATTTTTTTCATTTGTATAATGATGGATAGATTTTTCAGAAGCAATGAATTATTTTGAAGATCACACTGTGATACTCTGCACCATAATTTAATTCTAAATCTCTGAAGGGAAATTCTTTTCATCCAAGTGACAGTGGTGGTACTCAGTGTTGCAAGAAGCTTTGGGGGGTAATGTTCTTAATAAAGCACTTAAATAGACTGATGCTTGAAAACTGGAATACCCAGAAATATAGGCAATGCCAGTTTGGAAGTTTTCCTTAGCTGTTTAGTAAACATCATGGTTCAGGGTTCAAATTTATAATGGATTGGAAATCTGGATAAGACAAAACTTGAGAAAGAGATCATCTTCTGATTTCCTCTTCCATGGCTCTTAATACCTTCCAGTGTATCATCTGGTGCTGACAGCTCCTGGACATCAGGACTCTCTATGCATTTCAACTTCATAAAGAACTATTAGGCTTTGGGGAAAATCTGGATCCTTTTGTTAATGCCAAACTTTTCTGAAAATTCTCCTCCTCTTCCTCGTTATGTCTCCTAGTAAAACTGTGGGGAGAAGACTGATATTTTCATAGGAACTGTAAATTAATGTAGGGAGACATTATTAAATGAAGAGATGTATTTCTGCAGATACTTTAGCAGAATTAAATAAAATAATGCCTTGAGAGTGCAATATTTAATTCTCCTGATAAATACTGAAAAGAAAATACAGAAGTCCCATTCAACATAATTTCATACGTTTTTGTGATAATTTAACCTTCATCAGCCTTGAGAGTTCAGTTACATTATAGTGAATGCACTCCCAAAGTGGTCAGCTTCTGTAAATCAGATCACTTCTGCTGGGGGTGGGGGTGGGGGAAGAAAAAAGGAAAAAATTTTAAAAAGAGAGAGGAAAAAAAATATATTTAAAAAAATTGATTTCTTTAGAATCATTCCCTGTTTCCCCCTACAGTGTCTCCCTCTAGCTGCTGGGGAGATGATCACTGCATACTTAGAAGCTTTGTGTAAATATATTATATGCAGTTTTCTTGAGTAGGGGAAAGACAGAATGGTTAGGATGCTCCAGGTAATCTGTTTTAATACCCTTCTGCATTTGAGTTTCTAAGCCTTCCATTGGGCAGGCTGGAGAGTGAAAAAAAAAATTGCAGCTCACATTTACAGTTCATTGGCTCGTGCCAGTAGGCCACAGATGACCTACTGAGAAGATCCTGTGATAGCATTACTTGGAGGTAAAATAAAATCTCCCAACACCCACCTCCCCCTTTGCCACCCCCCCATTGAAAGACACCCTTGCTGCGATCCCACTTGCTGCTTGTCAGCTCCTGTCTGTGCTCCCTGCTGCTGTGTCGGGGTTAATACTATGTGAAAGAGAAACTGGCAAATAGGGAAAGCCATCTTTGTGTGCGTATGTGTGTGCGAGCACTGCTGTTTCATAGGCTCTGGCAGCTGCTGCATGGCCGATGATGCTTGCTCTCTCTTTTTCACCCTGCCTCCCTGCAGACAACTAATGAATCATTTCTAGCCTGAATACTAGCAGTGCAAACACACCAATGCTGGTGCTGCCGACGCTGCCGCCTTTCTCTACAAGGCTGTAATTTGACACAGTAGACTGCAGTTCTCTCTCTGCAATGATCTTGCTGAACATCGGAAGCACTTGATTTGAAGGTATGCTGAGATTTCACCCTTTCTAAAAATAGCTATTTCTGTTAAATGTTTCACGGGCCAAATGAGGGTGGGAGGGCTGAAGATTTGTAAGTGTGTGTGTAGGAGAATCCTCTTTTTAGTTAGCAGTAATGCAGCAGTAACTCTTATCAGAGGCAGACAAACTTTATTATTCTGCTGCAATTTGGTGGTGCCCTTCACTGGATCTTTTCTTCTAGGTGATGTTTAGAATCATAAAATGTGTTAGTATCATGCACGAGCACTAGGTAAGGGGATTAAACTCTTGCTAGATTATTGCATCCTCCCTCCTATTGATGTTTAACCTGATGTAATTTTCCTGTCACTTTTAAGGTTAAAAAAAAAAAAAAAACCACTATATTGACAGGTTTGATGTTGCCATGTTTCTTTTCTGTATTAGTGTCTGTGCGCAAAGTTAGTAACCATACTGGCTAGCAGCAGCTCCCCCCCCCCACCAAGCCCCCAAGCACAGTACATATTCAGAGTTATCTGTTTGCTTTGCAGATGTATATTGTCATGTCATGGCAAAGTCATCAATGTGACTACTCTTCCATACAGATATTCTTAATGAAATTATACATGGCATTTGTCTGGCATCTAATACTAAATTAGACCAACTGCAAGTAAATATCTCATCCTTTTTTGGTAGGGAGAGATCTGCAGCTATATATATATGGACACAGTATATGTGGCAGTATTTGTGCAAAGTATGTTACATATATGAGTATGTAGAACAGAATAATAACATTTTATTATGTTATGCATATAAATATGCATATTAACCACATATTCCAGTTAATTAGTTAGCACGTACCAGTATGCTGCGCTCAGTATTATAGGGGACACTGCACGATTTTTTTATTAACCTCTTTTCAAAATTGGCTATTGCCTATAGCGTTGGGCAGGGAAGGTATGCCTTTCCAAGAGTGATGGTCGACATTACAACTGTACATGGTCTTAGTACAGTTTTAACTGAGGAAAATGTAAGTGCATATGAAGGCCTTGGGCTTTCTTTTTAAGCTACTGTTGTCTGTTGTTTTAGGGGTAAAACACTGACGAGGCTTTTTTGTCCAGTGCAGATAGCGATGCAGAGTTTATATATAAAATAACTCAGCAAAATAACTTATTAATGAGTCTTGTTACTGCATCTTGTAAATACAGAGTCTGTTCCTTAAGTGATTTGATATATTTTGAAGAAATATCTAAAATCAAAACCATTGATCTTAACATTAATAATTGCACCAAGTCTGATGAGACAGAGAAAGAATACTATGGTTGCCATCATCAAAATACAAATAAGGACTATTGCTTAGCAAGATAGAAGAACTGCCTTAAGAAAAGAGCATGAAATATTAAAACACAGATCAAGCAGTACAGTGGAAACTAAAACATCTCCATAAATTCAATACAATAAAAAATAATATACATGGACTTACATGAAAGTTACTGTAGTCACTTTATATTTCAGCTTTTTTGATGAGGAGGTATTATATTTTTATTGGAGGAGGGCTTTCAAATCTACCTAGCTGACAAATGAGGAAGGCAATTTGGATCAAATCTTACAGATGTCAGTGAGGATTCACCACTGCAGACATCCTTTGAAATACATATGCATTACTTCTGGTACCTTAAAGGAGGGTGTTGAATCTTTTTCAGGTGGCTCTGTGAATTTTG